TATTTTAAACATATATATTTGCCCACGTGGACATAAAAAATAATACAAAATTATAAATAGTAATGTGTCCACGTGGGCACATATATACCTTTAAAATATACTATTAAATAGTTTAGGGGGTAAAAAATACGATATTAAATAGTTTGGGGAGGTAATAGGTTCTCATGAAAGTTTAGTATCGCAACAGCAAATCCGACCAAAGTTGAGGTATTTTTCAGACCCTTATCCCTAATTTTTTTATATATCTTTTAATTATTTTGAATTGTCAATTATACATATATAAATAAAATTCCTTACAGGAAAATAAAAGAAAATTAAAGAAAATACCTTAACCCGCTCCGCCTCCACACAAAATTAAATATTTTAATTTAGACCCGTCCCGCACCCGTACCACACCCGCATATTTAAAAACCCGCCCTGCCCCGTATGTGACCAAATGTGTCCTGCCCATTGTCATCCCTACTAAAGCAATTGCTTAAGGCCCAAATTTTTTAGGGACCCTATATTTTTCTAAGGATACATAATGGTAACTGTTTGAAAATATATATAATTTTTTCTAAATCATGCATTGATAAATTTGAAAAGAATTTTTTGTGTGGAAAATATAATAGTAATGGTTTACTTTATAATTTAATATGGAGGTTGTTGAAATAATTGAGAAATGAAATAGTGTTAAATTAATTGTAGCATTCTTTTTTAGGTGACTATCTATTTTGTTGACTTATTTATTTCTTGACGATTTTCATGAACCCACATTATTATTCTTAGATTTATCGTTTTTATTCTCTCGTTATTGAACATTCTAAAGTCTACCAAACGGTAAAACCTTTTACATTATGCAAAATCTACTGTTGTGTGTTGTTTATATCGTTATATCAACTTATCATATTCAGAGCAACTATTTCAATATCATTATATATACTTTTTAAATTTTTGAGTTTGGTTTTATATTCTAACTTTATATTATATTTTTTCATTGAAATTTTCATTGTTTATATTCTTACTTTGTACAGTACTCAACGTACATCCTATCTTTTCTAGACTTCACTTGTAGAATTACATTGAGTATGTTATAGCTATTCAATTTATATATGACAACTAAAAATAATAAGATCTAGCTATGAAATTTAGCCTTAGAACTCCAAACTTGTTGAGACGACCCGGTATATATTTGATTATGGATTATAAATATATAACAAGCTACTAACTATTAGGCAAACCGTTTTAATTCATTATTTCAAATTTGAATTTATAAATCAAAATGGAAGAATATCATATGGTTTAAATCTTTATGACCTTTAAAAATTTTATTCGATGTTCTGTTTGTTTCATAAATATAACCAACTATATTTTAAAATGTAAAATTTGATATGAAAAGAATTGCAAGTTATACTACTGTAAACTTTAATTATTTTTTTAAAGAAAAAACTAATATAACCATATTTAGCTCTGCCCTACAAATTTATTCTGATAAAGAAAATCACTTTTGCATACAAATATTGTTTTTCAACTTCAAAATTGTATTCAGTTCAAATTTTGAATATGAAATATCATTGTTACGAAGTATTTTACTTTTTAATTTAGGATTTTTTTATATAATAATTGAATTATAATATAAATATAGTATATAAATAGGGTAACCAAAAAAAATATTCCAAAATTCTAAATAGAATGTTTGACTAGTCAAATTCGTCTTCCAAATTCCACAAATTGACTAATTCTATGCCACGAGAATTCTTTTTTGTGGAAACCGTGTATTACCATTCATTTTTTCTTCCCTCTTTCAAACTTTTATTGATCGAAAAATCGTGTTAAATTTAAATCCTAAAAATAATCAAGAAATATGATAGAACGAATGAGATTCTTTTAACTTTTAACATGTTGCCTCAGCTCGAGACCTGAAAATAAAAAACTTAATGATAGAGAGCACTTCACCCTGGTGACAATCTAAATGAGCCTCAATTACCTAGGGATGTGATGGAATGCATAAGACTCTTTCATCGTTAACCCTTTGTTATCGATTCGAGATTTGTTAACAAAGAAATTCATTCTTTGTAGCTAGGGAGCACTTCTTTCTTGTGACACATTAAATTTGAATATGATTGAGTCCTTAAAGACCACCGAAGAATGTGGTGGATGGATGAGATCCTTCCATTCTCAACCTAAGCTCTCAGTTCAAAGGCTCGATAATAGAGAAATTCTTTGGGAGGGGGGGGGGATCGATTCCCCTAACGCGACTAGATTAAATAAGAAGAAAAATATAAACACAATAGGAAGTTCCAAGGATCAAGAAAAAATAAGAAGCATGAAAAGGAAAATGTATAATTCTATTTGTGTATGTCTCTTGTAGTCGAATGATCGATCGTATAGAAACAAGATTTTGCATAATAAAGACAACTCCTACGTACTCATTCCAAACTTCACTTCTGAAATTACACTAAATACGTAGTTGTGACTAATCACACAACTCATTTGTTCGAAGCACCTTCATTGGTCTCAAGAACCCTATGGATGAAGTTGTTCCCTTGTTCTCTTCCAACAACAAACTCGACGAATATGCCTCTTCATCCTGCATCGTAATTAATCGTAATGTAAGAAAAACTCACAATACAGAGACGGATTCAACATATAAACTGTAAATGCATTAATGTCTCAGACTAGGGGTGACAAATGAACGAATTGAAGTGAAACTTAGATGCCAACTAAACATCGATTCTTGATCCGAGTTCACCTAGAATTTGCTTGGATCAAAATGAGTTCAATATGGATCCCAAATCACTTTCCTTTTCTATTTAGTATTTTTGAAGGGAAAAAAATGTTAATGTCAATGTATTCCACTCGAAAGTCTATCAGAAACAACCTCTCTAACCAACAGATATAGAAATAAGATTTGCGTACATTTTACTATTCTCAAACCTCACTTGTGAGACTAAACTTTCTATGTTATTGTTGTTGTCAATGCTTTTAGCTTAAGTTCTTCTCTCAAGTAGGAAGCTACAAATCTACTAACAAATTCGACAAAACTCAATAACTTAAGCTTTTGTCATAGACTTTGTATTTTAAAATCAACCTAATTTATTAAAAATCCCGTAAATTATAACTTAAGCTTTTGTCATCAACTTCGTATTTTAAAATCAACTTAATTGTTCCAAATAATTTAAAACTAAAAAAAAAATCAACTTAATTTTTTAAAAATCTCGTAAATTATAACTTATAAACTCAAAATTTTAGCTCCATATCCAAATTTG